TGATGGATAACATCCACTTGAGGACATAACAACATGCATTAACTTGATTATTGGAACAACCTTACCTAAATTTCAAATTATAAGATGAATCCTATTAAACAAGTTGAACTTAAAGACAGCGGATAAAGTTTTCTGAGTATTCCTTCAATTTGATGGGGCCCACGGAGATTCAATGCTTTTGTGCCAAACATAACCATTGGATCTTGGTTGCAATTGGGTCCCTAATTTTCACATTATAAGATGAACCCCATTAAACAGGTTGAACTTAAAAGGCAAGTCCGTGATTTGTTTAGGAAAGAATTTATTAAATAGAACCTTGTGATTCTCATGCATTACTTACAACTAAAAAAATAATAGTTAGAGGATGCGTGTGGATAGCCAAAGGATTAATAAAATCACCATTAAAAATCGATATGTTATACCTATATTGGATGATAAATTAGATATAATAACTAGATATACTATTTTTAAGGATTGGTTTAATAAGCGGTTATCATCAAGTAAGAATGAGAGAAAGTAATCAAAGAACAATAATTTTAAGTTTAAAGATCATTTGCATGAATGTTTAATATGTCTTTCTAACTGACTATTGCACCAAGTGTTTTTATGAGAATCATGCACCATACTCTTCAAACTTTCATCAAGAATAATTTTGTTGTCTACTTTGATACCATTATGATTTATAATAATACTTGAGAGGAGCATTTATTGCCTCTTAAGGACTTCCAAAAATTTCAATCTATTATCTCTGGATATTAAAAAAGCTATTTTATTAGCTCACCTATTATGTTCTTGGGAATTGTTGTCTACTGCTCAATTATTTATTGATTTTGATAAACTTAAATCAATTAAGAAATTCCAAACACCTACTAGCATTCATGATATTAGAACTTTTCATGATTTGGCTATATTTTATAGGAGATTTATTAATCGGTTTAATATTGTTATGATAGTAATTACAAATTGTCTGTCTTAATTAAAGAGAATTTAAATGGAAAAATATGTTGAGTGTGCTTTCAATGATATTAAAGAGAGGGCTACCAATGCGCGTTTGCCTGAACTAACATGATTTTGATAAATTTTTTGAAATTTCATGCGGAGCAACTGTTGTAAAGATTAATAGAGTTTTAAATAAAGATGAAAATCTAATTGCTTACCTTAATATTATAAAGAATTTCATATTGTTGTGCAATCACTTCAATAATTAAAAATTACGTATTAGCTAAGGATTTCGTCCAAAAATTTGATCACCAAGCCTTAAAATATATCGAAAGAAGTTAGGGCTCAGGCAAATTAAATGGATTGATTTTCTATATGGATATGCATATGTGCTAAAATACTATGTTGAAGTTGAAAACAAATATGTTAATTCTTTAAGTATGGTTGTTAGTTTGCACACCATACAGGTTAAGTGACTAGCTCTGATTACATTAAAAAAAATTGCCAATTATAAATATTTTAATAGATATATCATAAATGAAATAAGAATCAAAATGATTTCCTTTCTTTTTATGAAGGATCAAAATGATCCCCGGTTATTTAAAAGTATGATTAGTCTCTAGATTTTTTAAAAAGAGAATTAAATGATCCTATGGAAGGAGTAATTTAGCCCCTAGTTAAAGAGTCAAGCGATCTTATTGGTACTTTTATACAGTCGAAGACTATTGGTCCTTCAAAAAAAGTTAGAGAATCAATTCAGTCATTTTTCTCTATCATAACTTAACTATTGAATCATCATCTATGATTAATAAGGATTTCATGATTAAGGGTAACCTTTTAAGAAAAACTCATATTTATATTTCCTAATTCAACTTTGAGGTATTTACTTGTTTTAGAGTTACATGTTGGTGATGAGTAGGACATTTTGGTAATAATAAAACTATAGTTATGACTAAGGATAAATATTGATGGCCACACTTACAAAAGGGATGTGGCACGTGTAATTTCACAATGAAGAAGTTATCAAATAATTGCATGAAAAAAAACAATAACACTAAGTTTTACATATCATTGTGTATTCCATATAAGCATTGGGAGTATGCTAGTTTAAACTATATTTGATCTTTGTAGTAATTGATCATTTTTTTCTAAAATGGCTCATTGCATTCTATGTTATAAAAATCCTAATTCAACTCACATAGAAAATTTGTATTTTAATGTAGTGTTTAAATTGCATGGATTGCCTAAAACTATTATCTAATAGATATTTAAAATTCATAAGTTGTTATAATAAAACTCTCTGAAGAAAGATGGGAATCCAACTAAAATTTTATCACGTTTGAACAAATTAAGAGAGTAAATAAGAGTTTAGGTGATTCGTTGCAAAGTTTGACTTAAGAACACACATTTGATTAGGACTTAATATTTTCTAAGGCTGATTTTGCCTACAATTCATTTGTTCATGGGTATATGAACATGGATCCAATTGAAATTTTTACATAATACCAACCTAAAAAAATTCTTAATCTTGTTGACCTTCCCACCTAGTGAGCTTGCACAATCATTTGCATACAACATGCATAATTTACCTAAGAATATTTTTGGCAATTTTAAGTTTGTTGTTAAAGTGAATAGGTGACATGAAATTCAATTCAAATGACAACATAATGATCCATCAAAATCCAAAACTATTCTTCTTAGAGCCATTAAAAAATTAATAAGCCAAGGCAATACGAATCATTTCAATGGATTGCGATGAATGCTTATAAACTAGAAATTCAAGTAAGTATTGATATTAATCCAATCTTCAATGTATATGATTTAATCTTATTTCATGAACTTGCTAACAATATCATTGATTTTTCTTTCTTTCCATCTCATTGTGAATTCATATCCAACATCTCACTAGATAGATATGCACTTGTTCCTAAAGTCATTTTAAGCAATGAAATTATGTCAACTACAAATCGTGGATATTTGAGGCACATTATACATTTGCATGGCAAATCGACTTGTGACGATTCAGGCATTACTTTACATAAACCACAACAGTCATGCTCAGATCCAATTGAGGAATATCAAATGATCAATTCATTAGAATTGGATATTTAAGCTAAGAAGATTTACTAGAGCATTGATAGTGCATACTCGTCGGAAGCACATGATATGAGCATTAAGACGGACATATTGTGTGGTTTGGCTTGTATTTTCTAATTTCAGGTTCATCATGCCCATCACATCGATGGAAACAAGAACATAATTTGTTCTCCAATGTCTTAAGTACTTTCATGGGTTTGCTTTACTACTACAAGTTCTATTCGATTCAGCTTTCATATTCCCTCAATTACCAACGTCTAGCTCCCAATTTTTTCCAGACAATTAATTTAGAAACTCCAGCTCTTTTTACTTTCATTCATCATATGCTCAATAATTAGCATCGACAACTCTTTCCATTCTTGACATAGAGCATGGAAATTTGGAACAGCTGCTTCGTTCTTTTCTTTGCATTTCACTGTAACAAAGAATCAATCTTGGCTAATTTTTGTTAGATTTTTCTTCTACAAAACTTGTGGCTATTGTCGCTTTTTCTTTAAGTAGTTGATTCACATCCCATGATGACCCTCCTATTATAGCTATTGTCGGTTGTCTATTTCTTATTCTAAGAGATTCAGTTTGTCTGTTTCCTATTCTAAAAGAACAACATACTACTATTAATGGCGGACAACATACTTGTTATTCAGGTTAGGAATTTAAGAATACTGAATTGACAACTTATAGTTTCAGGCAAGATCCTAAGGTTTCGTGAAACAACTAATTTTGAGTCTTTTGGGTTACAATAGGACCCGCAAGGCATATGTTTTTCAATAGATTATTGAATACAATTTTTATTCTCTCAAACTTGAGTGCGTGTATAATTAAAAAAATTTTAGCAAGTTGCATAACGAACGACATCTAGGGGATACTACTTGTACTAACATGAGTCCTGGATCTTCAATTTGTTAACTAATATCCTTGCACATTTTTTTATCTGATTATTTCGAGACCGATTTTGAGTGCATATTTGAGATTTGGCCAAATTTGCTACAAACCAATTTCCATTTTTTGAATGTGAATTTTACTCACTGTAGACTTTATATTTATTATCAGATTTCTTGTGAAATTTTATTTCAAATTTAAATTTTAGAAAAAGAGGAAAAATATCTCATTCAAAAATGAGCTGTTTCCATCTATTTTTAAATTTTAAACTCTAAAAATTATGAGAGAACACATTTCAAAATTATACTTTCTTACTATACATCCTTTTTTTTCTCATCTATTTTCATTCACTATATAACGTATATAGATAGGCATAAATGCAAATATGAAAAATTTATGTCATTTTTTATATCATCAAGAATACAATGTCAACATAGAAAAAAAATACATATTTGAAAAAAAAAAATCTATTCAAATTTCAATGTAGCGCTTCAAAAAATGATTTCAAAAGGCCATTTTAGTTCTACTATATCTTAAAAGGCCAATTTTCTTTGGCCTCATTTTGAAGTTGTGTTCTTTTTATTTTTAAGATTTAAGAATCCTGAAAGAGTTGGAAAATCCCTCACCAAGAATGACAGAATTCTAAATTCTTGGGCAAGAAGTTTTCTTGGTATTTTTTAAATCATAATAATACACAAGAACACTATTTCAAAATATAGCATTCTCATTGCCCATCCACTTGTTTATATTCCTTCTCTACTCTGTGAAATTCTTAGATATGAATTTTCCTCTCTTTCTACTTTTAAAACCTAAATAATACACGAGGGCATAATTTCAAAATAGCTGTCTCATTGCCAGCAAATATATATATATATATATACATATATATTGTGGATTCAATCCCAAGGACTTGCTATGACTTCAAAAGATTTTTACCAACAAAACTTGCTGGCACAAGATCATTAGCAGATCTTACAATATTTTAAGGCTCGTGATTGATACACTAAGCATTAACGGCATCCTACTAGATAAGCGCACCAATTAATTTTTCTAGAAAAATTTCTTCAGTATCACTAATTTCTTACCAGCAAAGACTTCAGAGGACGGCCAATGGGTTTATAATCTTCTTCACCAAAAGTGCCTTGAGCTAGGTGTTTATCCAGTAAAGAATCCTGTCATGTTTGCACCGCAAGAAAGTATTATAAATGCAATGGAGCACTTTAAATTATATTCACTTGATAAGCTTTCATAACTAAAAAAATGCACACCGGAGGGTGTGTTGCATCCATGTGTCGATGCATAATAGTTCGTTCTAATAACAAAATAATGGCTAACCACCTTTGCCATGAACATGTCTCTGCACCACTGAGCTATTGCTTCATCTGTCTCAGGCACTTCATTCATAGGGCGTCGCTTCATGTGAACATGAATCTAAATGAAATACAAAAATTAAAGTTGTAAGGAAAAAAAAAATCCAAGCTAATTAAACTGGGTAACCCAATATTCTTCTTCACCGTGCTTTTTAGGGACAGGTAAATAGAAATCCTACTATTGATTGTGGTGATTCTAAATCTAGTTTCTTCATATATGAGTCATCTTCATAAAATAAATCTTTTTGAAAGTGTGAGATCCCAATATCACATGTCAGATGACAATTATAAAAACTGACATATTGAGAAAACTGTTCCAGGAAAATAGTAACCCAAATTCAAAGTGCTCTTGAAGAGTGTTCATTAAGCCACGTGAATTTTGAGAGTGTAAATAGGTTGTTCATTCTTGGAAGAGTATTTGCATTCAAATGGCGAGTCCAAAAGTGGTCCAGCTTGCAAGATGTTCTGGGAGTATCAAAATCTCTTGCACGTTCAGTTGTCAATGAAGACAAAAAAAAATGTGAAATGAAAAATGAGTGTAATCTACCTTGCATTCACCCTATAAAATGGGAATCCTGATGTGCAAACAAGTGAAAACTGGCATTATAGTCCAAGATAACCAGATCTCTGTTTAACAATCAATTTGTTTAAGGTGGTGACCAAATAATGTCACATGATCCAGACAAATAGTTACCATAAATGGTAGTGATGAATAACTTGATCGGTCTGAGCATTTAAACTAGATCCATAAGTTGCAATCTCCCATAAGTTCTAATATGAGGTAATCAGGCCAGGAAGGGAAAAAGAGCACCAGCACAGCTTTCAAAAATTCAACCGACAAAGAAGAGGATTAACAAGCAAAGGAGAAGATGTACCTGTAATACATGAAGAATGATGACATGTTAAGATAATCATCATGTGCTGCTAAAGATCAAGGAACACAAACTAGATCAAGATTAGCTAATGAGTAATGAATAACAAAAAAAATGAAAAACTAATCATGCACTCAACATACTGTGTTTCCAAGAGATAATTGCATGAATGGCTCAAAAAAAACTCAAAACCAAATAATTGAAATATCAAGGGCTCAGAAAGGATGTCAAAGGCTATTTCCTAATAAATAGGGTATTTAGGAATCCATTGTGGATAGATGATACAAAGATCTCAGACAACTTCCAAACTCAAGAAGAATTGAATTCAATAAGAAAGGGATATTTTACCCAGATCCTTGAAGAGAGTTTCAAAATTAAAAAAAGGTTCAGTAGATCCATGAAAATAAAACAGTTCAGAACACTGACACATAGCATTACCAGAATTAGGGATTACCAGAATTGTCTAGCAGCCAGAAACTCATATAATTTAGCAAAAAAAATTCTGCAACATAGCATCGCATGGTGTACACACATATTTGCTTGGGTCAAATTGATCAAGTCATCTTACGAGCCCATACTAAGTTCGGCAACTCGTTGATCATGAGTTGGATCAAGGTGCCAATAACTCAAGAATCGCCAAGCTTTAACTCGCCCAAAACCTCCGCGAACCTAGAGCTGAAACTCAACAACTAACCTAAGGATTGACAAAGACGGCCACTTTTCCAAGACTTTTGCAAAGGTTTAAACTACTTGGCTAGAACATCACCGATCTATAGACTAGGAGTTCTAACTAGAACTCGCTCAGGGTTCCATTTGAAGAGCTCGTCAAGGGTACTCGACCCTTTATCCAAAAGTACCCCAAAGATCCTGCCTGCTAGATAACTAGCAAGCAAACATACTCTCCTAAGAATGGCTAGACCAAGTCTACTCATATATATCTTATTATTTTCCATTGTAGCACATCACTAATCACCTATAAATAGAGTGACACTGATAAGGTGCAGAATAAAAAAAAATAGTACTTTTGGTCATAACAAACCTCAAGATTTCCCCCAAAATTCTTTCCCTGCTATTCCTAATTACTAACAATTTGTGGGCTCCGAAAATTCGTGCCCCGGACTCCCCTGCTTTCGGGAAGTTTTAACGGATTAAGTTTCAGGATAAATTTTGGGAGTGCATGTTGAATTTGTAAATAAGACACTATCTAGATATTTCGTCCTCATTTTGTGAGGACTTTAGATCTGAGTTTTGGTTTCCTATAGGTGCAAGTCCTATAGTTAATTACCCCTCCCAATAGCGAGAGAGAACTTTCGATTAAGGCTAGTCGTCAATCAGATATGTAGAGATACATGTATATTGCATATAGTAGCAGCATGGGTTTGGGTATGTGAAGGTTTGATATTTAAAATTGTAAATTTCACCATCTTGCACTTAAAGCGGATGGTGGGGGAATGGATGATGGACCCGATCAAGATCCCATGGTTCCATCGTCCCAAACCATCGTGGTCCCTGGTTTACTTAGTCAAAGGAGGTAGTTGACCGAACCTGACAGAAAGATCCTTGTCGGCAGTCATGGGTTGCGTCGTCCAATGGTACTTGTAGACCCGGGGTGAGCGTTTGTCTAAGGGAACAAATTTGAATCCACCTTAGCTAACAGAGGGCTTTGTGCACTATCGATTATATCATATTGATTCATATCTCAAGGATTTAGTGTCATTGGGGAACTTACGAGCTCTGGTCATGACCGTAATTTAGTGGTGTCATTTGGCGGCAAACCACCCAATTCAAAGGGCCCCGATGATAAACGTTAACCTGCAGTGCCATTTGGTGAAATAATCGCCGGTTAGAGGACGTGTCACGTCCTTGCTGGCAGAAGACTGTTTGAAAATGAATCCTAGTGATATTCTCGACCAGACATTAATTCTTTATGAGTTGAAGTGATATTTGAATTTGTCCACCTCGGTAAACTGTTGCATATGGTGGATGGTTTTTGCTTTAAGTGTTTAATGGTTAAATTCAATTTTAAATATTTGGATTTTTTGAATTTTTGGACTTTTGAATTTTGAATTTTTATGGGCAATTAGGTGGCATTTTGAATATTTGGAATTAAGCCCTTCGGTTGATCTACGTTCAACGCGGCCATCATCGGGGTATTTATGAGAAATTTCATATTGTTAACCGAACCCTGTCAACTCTATTAGTTGTCGACAGAGGATCGGGTTTGAATCGACTATATGTTTTTATTTAGATGAATTTCTCTTGTTATAGATCTTGAAAGCCTAACATGAACGTATAAAACAAATATCCCGGTTGATACTGCGATCGTATATTTGTTTGATGGTTCGAGTTGTGTCGACTCCTATCTACTTGTGTAGGAGCATCAGGCTCGAACTTGTGCTTATCATTCGACCCGCGCAACATCCCTAGACATCACGTGTGTACCCGTAACACGCTCGCCGGTGCCCACATGTATTTGATTACACATGCATTCCTTTATGTTTGTGTGTATACATATTGTAGTACATGTTTGAGAGCATTTTTTTATGTTTGACGTTGATTAGTTATGCGAGTAACTATCATTGTAATACAACATTCTATTTAGAAGCTCGTACACGCATTTTGTTCGCTTGTATACAAGTTGTGGATTCGGGGGCGTATCGAGTTCATGATGGGCATCTTGCAGCAACTCACTGATATACGCATTTATTACATATTATCTGCCCTTGTTTATAAGAAAATTGGGGTACCTGACTGCCATTACATAGTTATTGGTTGTAAGAATGTCGTACCGTCCATTTTCTCTCACTACACAACTTGTAGATGCTTTAATTTATTAAATGTTTACTACCTTTACTTATAGGTAGCTTGTTGTTTATATTGCTAGTTGACCGCAATGACCCATGGGTGTTTGCAATTGTCTCCAATCGATCACCTTTTGCTTGTGAGGTATATGCATATTTGAGGAGTCCTTTGCAAGGCAAGAGGATACCGGCTTGCATCATGACTTGCTCTGATGAGGTATATTCCTCAAAACTTAGGAAACCCCCTAGGAACTCCAAGCCTTGGTGTGTGGTTGATGCTCCAAAACCCTTAGGACCCTAGAAACCCATGCATTATGCTTTCTAAAACCCTAAAATAAACCTCAACTCCTCAAACCCATGAAAATCAAGTGACTTTTCTCGAGTTGCTCTCATGTGAGATCCCATAGAGGATGGTGACACCCGTAAGGTTGTTGGATTCATGTCCAACGCCTTCCAAATTGCATTACAAACAATCACCTATAATCAAACCTTAGGCTAGGTGTTGTCGATCACAACTTGAATGACAACATGTAGGGTTTCACACTATGTAGCATGCAACACTTTTTAACAAATCACAAGTTATGACAAATTAACTTAGATATAGAAGACTTGCATTGCTATGACATTGTGATTTTCCTCTAAATTTGCTAAACATTCATGGATGAGTTTTAATTAATTACAAAGCCTGTAAGCAACAAGTGGGGTCTTTCATGAACTTTCATGTTTATGTTTCAAAAACCATGACAAGTAAAATTGATTGGATTCATGCTTGATATTTCTCCAAGTTTATAAGATTAAAGTAATGAATAATTCCCATTTAAATGGCCATACACTTAATCAAACTAAGTTGCATGATTTGGGTTGCATCACTCAAAAGTTGGTAGAATGAACATTGTAGGTCATTTGTCAAGATTGTTGCATACTCAAAATTTGTAAATTCACAAATATGTTTATTTAATTTGTAAGTGCTTTTAAAAGAAAAGGTGGAGTATTATATGGCTTGCAAAGGCTTATAGATTATACCCCACCACATATTGAAATTATTTAAGCATGTTTGGTGCAATTTGCAAGTTGATAGGTTGAGGGCAATGACACATAATTTAAGCATTTGATAATCTCCTAAAATGATAAACCATCCCATGCATACTCATAGATTCCTCTTAGATCATGACAAAATTGATCTTTAAAATTTCTTTTAGAGGCATTCAAATGATCTCCCCTACCTAAATGAGTCCAAAACACTCAAATAAAATTAGGGAGCTCTCCTTCAAATACCTTTCTCCCTCATGTATAATATGTAGAGTCTCCCCAAGGTTTCAAATGTTTCATTGCATGAATCTTAGAACCCCTTAGGAACTACCATCAACCTTTAGATAAATCCTAAGATTGTTCTAAATCAAGTTGAACAAAACATAGCTTGACTTAGTTTATCTTTTGCTCTTTTGCTTGGTGTTCTTTTCAACTAACATGGAGATTTCCAAATGATCACTAAAGGGCTCAAGAGAGCATTAGGAACTTTTAGGACCAAATCCTAAGTTCCTTTACCTCTTTTGGTTGAAACAAAATCAACAAAAATCATATCGCCCTCTTTCATTTGCCTAAACCATGTTAGGTAGATGATCATGCATCATTGAATGCATAATTCATAATTTCTACCGACTCAAAAGGTCCTAGAGAACTCTCATCTTAGCCTAAAAGCCATATGTATTCTCTCTTTTTCTCCTCAACCTCAAAGTTGTAGAAGATTCATATCCAACAAATTCATTTGTTGAGTCAAAATCAACAAGAAACTTCATCTCAAGCATAGGTTTAAAGAATTCATTTTGATTTGTAGTCCAAAGCTACACATCATCAAATCTCTAATCATCCAAAAGTTGTAGTTTCTCATTCCTCCTTAGCTCACAAGCTATAGGGGCCTTCCAACTTCTAAGACTCAAAGCTACGAATTTTATTCCTTTCTTTTTAGCTCCAAAGCTAAAGATAACTCTCCAATACTTAGCACAAAAATTATAGGTTGGAGATTTTTTCCTTTTCTTTAGCCTCAAAGCTAAAGGAAACTCTCCTTCCCTTAGCCTAAAAGCTATAGGATTTCTTCTACCGTTAGTTCCAAAGCTTTGGGTATTTCACCATATTTATTCACTTGATCTCCAATCAAGTGAATGATCTTTAGCCATAGGCCTTAGCACTTCTATTGGACTCAAATCCAATAGGAACTTCTTCCTCTTCAGCCTCAAAGCCAAATCCTATTCATTTGGCCCAAATAAAGTGGATAATCCTTCTATTTAGACTCAAACTATAAGTAATTTTTTCTAATTTAACAAAGTGATTCCTCCTAAACATAATCCTTAGATGTCCTTTAGAAGTTTCCCTCTGTTGAAATCCACCTTACCTTATTAGATGAATTTCACAAAGTCCTAAGCCAAACCTTAAGACACGTTTACCTAACCCTAATAGGTGAATATTTCCCTCTTACCCAAACACTAACAGAACCTCTAAAAACACCTAAAAATCACTTAGATTTTTTCTAATACAATGATAAATCATCCCATCTCAAAAGGTGGAATGCCTACATTATTAGATCTTAGGATTTCGTAAGTAGCAGCCTTGCCTCAAAGTAACCAATATTTTATGAATTTTTCATAACCCTTCTAAATATGAAACAATTAAAAATCAATAAAAAATTTAAATCACAAACAACATAAAATAAATTCACCCATTGAATTAAAATTAAATATCCTCTATTCATCAATAAAATAAAACACCACTTGTAGTGTGATATACCACACAACCGACACACACTTAGGTGCACAACCCCTAGACATGCTAGGATTAAGATTTTTTGTGTGCATGTGTGTGATGTATGGTGTGATGCATATTAAATTGTTTTCATTGTGCGCACTTACCCTTAAGTGAATATGATAGAGATATATGTTTTTTTCTGCAGGTGGTCATGTCCGGGGGTAAAAATAAATCATAATTATAAAATACTTGCTTACAGGTGTTGCTTAAATCCCTCAATGAGTCTTTTACATTTTTTAAATGTATTTGTTAGAATTTGAAAGTATTATTTGGACTGATGGGATATAGTTACATGAGAGATGGATCCCAAATGAAGCATAAGGTGAAGCCCCATATCCATCTAGAAGCCAAAGCTTGAAGACCACACAGGTCGAGTCTACAATTATTCTGGATTTCTATAAGACAGACAACTTAGTTGCCACTTTTATAGCTTTCTCATAATTATAATAATTTGAACTCTATACTTTACTTTCATGTTTGTTGATTATATATATACAAGTATGTTTTGATTTTTTATTAAGTGTGCCTTAAAAATGCATACTCTTTTCCTAGGTTTCTTCACTTGCTTTGTAGGAATGTCTTGGACTTTGTTATGTAGTAAGCTCTTAAGACAAAATTAATTTTTCTATTAATTAACAACTAAACAATCTAAAATCAATCATAGGATAACCCTTTTTTTTAAATTAAAAAAATTGCATGGCTTACTCTAATGAGCCAAGTTTTTAAAAACAAAATGATTACGTATTTCCAGTATTTATCATATAGAAAGCTCTCACTTAAGAATTAGATAGCAAAATTTGCATTCAATGAGTCAGCATATGCATACCTACATGATCAAGCATCTAAACCTAAAAACCAAATTGTAAGTTATATCTCCTAAATCAAAATAGTTTTCTTAATCTTCATATGCATTGAGACCAAACCTCTTGACTTTAAAACTATTTAGGTGGGTTTAGCTAGTAGTCCTTTCCAGACAAAATTGTAAATCCATAGATCATATTGGCTTATGTCTCATGTGATATAGATTTATAAGTCTTTTGCACTCTATAAGACTTAGGTTCGAAGCATTATCACTTAGTAGTTCTCAACTTAGCTCTAGAATTTGAAACTATTGTTGACTCCAGTCACTTCATAAGTCATCACGTTTCAAGCATTTTCTTCAACATTTATTGTAGGATTATAAGCCTCATTCCTAAAATTTGATTTATAGTTGATCACATCTCTCTTGAAATTCCCAAAGATCAAATCTTTGAACAAGAATCTCAAACTTTAAAAATGAAATATTAGTTAATATTTTGATAACTATAAAAAAACCACCAGTTTAATCAAAAGTATTTACGAAGTAACAAATGCTTGAGGTGTAATTAATCATAGGATCTTCCCATAATGGGTATTCGTTCCCCAAAATAAAATAAACTTTATTTAATCAAATATTGAAAAAGGGAAAGTCTATGTTAACATTATAAAATTGTGAGTTTTGTTATTGAGTATATAGCAAAATAATTTTTTTTATCATTTGAAATAATATATCATTTTTTATGTCGTGCTCGATCACAAAATATTCCAATCCGTTGAGGATAACAAAATTTCTCCAACATTACATTTATCCTTTATGGGAGGTTGAATCGCCAAGAAATATGGAGAAAATGGATCTAAGAACAAATTTATTTGGGGACAAATGAAGAAAACTTTGTTGTAGAAAAAAACAAAGAGAAAGAAAATGGTATTAACAGGATTTCTCTATAAAAGTAGAAATACAGTTTTGCCCTACTTAGTTTGAGGAGACAGCTTTTTTATATTCATCCATGCCTAAGAATGAATGTGTAGTTAGCATCGCGCGTTGGAAAATCCTTTGCAAGCAAAGCTCTGCATGGGGTCCTGGTTGGATACCCAATGAGTACCTACACTTTATGTATGCGGGCTTCGCCCATCCACGCCAACCCATGGTGACTTTCGGGATGTCGTATCCACCCATACACACTCACTTTCCACGCTTTTTGAACGCAGTCTACCACGAACTAATGACCTTGAGGCTTCTAACTGCAAACTTTCAAGCAGCATATTAGAATTTATTATGGTCGCAGTGCGGTTCAGTGTTATATAAGTAAAATAACATGACATGAGGATTGCGGTAATATACGACATACAGTGATTAGCAATGTAAATTAGTTTATCCCTCGACGTTGAGTACCCACCCATGAGGTCATGGGCATACTCATACCCACCCATGTGTGGGTACATGGGTGGGTGTGGGTATGGATACCCAATGTAGGGCTTTGCTTGCAAGGGAGGTGGCTGCCATTGCTGATTGGTAAAGGTGGTATCATGATTACTTCAAGGTGTTGATTTCCCTTGTTGATATTGATTTGTGTAAGCTGTATTGTCAACCTTTCCTATTCTTAAAAACAAAATCTCTCCCAATCCCTTTCTTCCCTACTTAAAATCTTTGGCAACATCATATGGCATATGCCATATCTAGGAGCCATACTATAGATAGCTAATAAGTTCCAAACTTCAAATAAATCATCATATACGAGCAGATGAGGTCCCATATGGTTACACTGCGGACTAATTCATATCTCCAAAACAGAAGCAAGAAAAACCTTTATTAGTGTTTTCCTATTTTGCAAGAATTTCTCACGTGCAAGATCAGTTAAACATTGCAGAATCATCTACTTTGCCACATCACAATTGTTATAACGATGAGTGATAGTTTAAATTCTACCACTAACTAATAAAATTGTATAAATAAATTCGCAGGTTAAATGATATAATCGTGTTAGTTTAGTTGGTGCTCCTAAATTAACGAAATAGTAAATATCATTGCTTCCACCAAACAAACAAATAACATGTTACACCTGGCTCCAAGTAAGCGTAATAGGCAAGATAGACTTTGTCTCATCAATGCTTAAGAATGCTAACAGTCTTTACAAATCACTAGTTACAATTCTAAGCAAAGGAGGGTACCAAATGTGTGAATGTAATCTTGAAGACCTTATTTGAGTGAAAGAAAAGAGAATGACTCATCTATTTCCAAAATGCTGTCAAGCTTACCTGACAAGGCTGGTGTTTCAAAATTCTGAGCATTGTTGGGGAGGGCTTATCTTTAGGAATTGCTACAGTCATATCATAAATGGCAGGAACAAACGATCGCATATTATTTACAGCTGAAACAAATCCCTGAAGTCAAAAGAACAGTTTGAAAGAACTTTAGGACCCCAACAAAAATTTAATTTTATTCAAGAAAACAAAATCATGAAAAATTACTAATTATTATGGACTATTTATACAGTTTTGATGTTAATTTCAAAAATAAATATGGTGACAAGAAAACTAAAATGATGTGAAGTGACGGTTTATTTGCAAGAAAGTCAACCCTAAAATAATCAGTAGAGTATGCGCCAACACATTTTTCTGTGAGCGGCACAAAAAAAATTGCATTAGCTACTAATTTTTTGTTAGCGAAGCACTAGTAAAGGCTTCTCACCTAAGAAACTCCCTAGCATAACCAGGCAAGGCACCTCATAAATTATGGCCAAACGCTCTTTTTTATAGCAATTAAGTTTCTGGTCGAATTGCTGAAAATACTAGAAGCAATTGTCAAGAAAGGGGTGGATAATCTATAGAACAAGCTCAGACTAGTTTATCTAAAGGAAGAATTAACAATGGAGAAATATAAGACGCAAGAATGAAAAATCAAAAAGAACAAGAGCGCCATATCCGACAAAAAATGCAAGAATATGGACCAATGACCAAGATAATAACAGAAAATAAAGAAACAGTGCACGAAGCTGATTCCACGGGAAACTTGATTCCTTCAGCAGACAGCTTATTGAAACATCACAATTGGATAATTAGCTAACCAAACTTGAAAAAAAAGTTTTATGCTTTGAGAAGAAACTTTAGCATTACCCTATCAGGAAGTTGCAGCCAGAAGTTTAGAAGTTTAACATAATAAAAAACAGAAATGAGAAGCAATAATTTTTTTATAAAAAAGAACATTATCTGCACAATTTTAAACCACAGTCCAAATTAGCAGTTTAAACCAGTTAGCAGTAGAAGTCAAACATAGCTTTGGACCATTATCAGAACCAAGACAAACATAACACTGCAAGAATGACACTGCACCAAAATTCAGAAAACAAGATCATCAAAAGAGAGAAATAGATGTTTAAGTTCGCTTCAGGTAAATATAAATAAAAGGGCGTCAGTTAATAACTCAAATTTTTAGGGTAATACAAGAAAAGGATAAAGAAATGAGCAATACACCTAAAACAAGGAATAAGAAGAAGTAGGCCTGCCTTAGTGCGGGGAATCAACACGTTTTTTGGAACGGGTAAACCCTGTGAAGCTGCATATTCTTGAGCTGCCAGAAGTTTAGCAGGCGTGAAACGGGTACCTTCAACAAAAAGTGCCAGCCAAAACGGCTGAGGGAAGTCCTTCAATCTTTGGAGACCTGACTGCAACGTAAAATGAATACAATAATTAAGAGAATAAAAATAATTGAAATAAAATATAACTAGTCATCATTTCAACATTATGCCTTCAACGTATCTTCATCCTTGGCCCAACTTCTCTCCAAAAAGAGATATTCAGTAAACCACATTGACCAACCAATAACCTAAATACATTGGGAAAAAAAAATAAATTAATGTTCCTGAAATGATAAATAAAATCATAATTGGCTATCATAAAGTTACTTCTAGTTTAGTAGATTTAGCTTAAGAAAATTAGTCATTGCAGCATAACCAACAAACATATAATCTAAAACACTACCAGCAGACAATGTCACTGACAGAACACTTAACAGCAAAAATGAAACAAATTAAAGAGCAAGTTGATGAGGACATCGAAAGGCCAACGGCTACAATCTGGAGTTTATTTTATTTTTATGTATCTTATGTACTAGTTTATTTTATATTCATGTTTTTCTCATTTTACTCTAGAGGTGGTCATGTGATGTTGTAGCCCGAAGGGCGTTTTAGTCTTTGTTTCTTTTCTTGTCATGAGGCCTATTTATATGCGAGCTCTCTTGTAATTTGGGATGATGATTGATTAATTAAAATTTTCTTGTGTTACTTCTTCTTCTTCTTGTGTGAGCACTAGAGAGAAGAGAGATAGAGCTCAAGGTGAGCAAGCGCAATACCCACCGTTGGAAGGGTCCACAGCTCATGGTTAGTTTATTTTTATTTTATTTGTATTTTTCTCTTCTTCCTTCCCCCACTCCACCCGCCGGCCCCTTCTTTCCCCTCCACCACCGGTTGCTTAACCCCTCCACCCAATTCCTCCCCTAGTTCCACCACTTCAAGCAAACCCTCCACCCAAGCCCACCCAATCCAATGCCTAGCCACCCCTTCCCCATTGCCGCCACCCCTCAGATGGCTCCCCACCGTGATGATGACCCCAAACATCATGATGACTCCCTAGGTTGAATCAAACAAGATAGGAAGGTTCTCAATTATTTGAAATTCAAATTTGAATTTCAAAAACTTTCCTAATTTGCAGAACTCCAAATAAGGAAAGTCCTAAATTTCACTCCGATCTAATTTTAAATTAGAAAGAGTCGTTTATTCTCTATCCTATTTGGCAAACCTTGTTTGGAAACTTCTTAAAATCCTCCTCATACCCCTCCTCCTCTCTTGATACTGCCGGCCTCCCCTCTTGCCCCATTCCATTATGATGATTCCAATCATCATAATTCCCCTCCTAAATTAACTCCAAGAGGAAAGGAAAGAAATTAATTTTATTTGAAATTTGAAATTCAAATTTCAAATACTTTCCTTATTTGCAAATTCTAATTATGAAAGTGCATAAAATCAATCCTATTTGAAATTCAAATTAGATTTGATTTCTTAATTTCTTTCCTAATTCTCATGAGTTATTTTAGAAACCCTTAAATTCCTCCCCACAATCCTCCTCCCCCACTTAATGCTGCTGGCCACCCTTTATTGGGCTTCCTCCTTGTGTTTCCTCTTTGGGCCTTACCCTCTTTGAATTTGAAATCAAAATTTCAAATTTAATTCCCTCCAAATCCACTTAAATCTGAATTAATTTCATATTTACTAAAACTTCATCTCCCCTCCTCTAACTTAATCTAATTCCCCTCAACCAAGCTGCCCCCCTATCTCTTCCCTTCCTCCACGAAACACCCGTTTATCAAGAAGATTCAGTTTTCCCCTGCTGTCCCAGAATTCCAGCAAAGGGAAATCGGGATTCCTACCGCCTAAAAACTGCGGGCTGCTCTTTTACAACCTGTTGTCCAACTGTTTAGGCCCAAACCCTTGCTGTCCTGAGGAGTTTCCAAGGTCAAAAGCTGCTGTCCAAGGGAATTGGACTGCTGTCCGCTGATTTCTACGGGTTTCCCAGCACCATATATATCATCCAGAAGACTCCAACTGTTGTCCACCTCTTCACTAGCATTCAAACGACCTTGCCGGAGTGCATATTTCTCTTGTCTTTGGGTAAACTCGACACCCGACTCTCTATTTTCATCGTTGCATCCTTGATTGCGGTTTTATTACATTCATGAAGATCATGTTAATGCTCTTCCGCTAAAGCCTAGTAAATTATAGAGTTTTGTGAGGGATCATTCATCGTACTAATCTCATTGTTACTCTAGGGATTTCTTGTTGAAACTTTCCATGTATGCAATGTTAGATTAATTGAATGTTTTACGATCTTAACTCCTATGCATGTGATTTAGCCTAAACTTGTTTTATCGCTCTTTGTATTTTATCTTATCGTTTAAATTCAATATAAATGATATAATTATTGTGACTCTTAAAATTAAGCGTACAACTTCCTAAATCTAATCATCCTTGCATGCACGTTTCACATCACAAGTCCTTCGAATATATCCATGTTTTATCGTAAGTTAAACATGCATGAATCTAGGAAAGCAATCGCTGAGAAATTCCAATTAGAAATCCACTATGAAAGCAATCACTGAGTAATATACATGCTGTGTGCAAGGTTCAAAATGCACAAATCTATGAAAGCAATCACTGAGAAATTTCAATTAGAAATGTACTATGAAAGCAATCATTCACAATAACCACCATGGCCTTGCCTTAGATAAAACCAAATCAAGCTATCATGATTTGTGCCTTCACAAGGTAGAGGCATAAAGGCCTTATAACAGCCAAGAGTTTGGATCTCATAATTGTCAACCTCCCATGAATCAGCATAACCTCACGTGAATAGGACTTATGTTTTATGAGATCCTCTTGACCTTGCACAACATGGTTGATCCAGCAAGCATAACAAATGACATCAAGCTAATATTTGACAAGCAAACTCAATACAGATTCCCACAGTGAATGTCCATAATTGCAACCTAGTCCTTTATACAAAAGATGATGAAAGATAGTATGTGATCTAATGCGCGAAACAAATTAAGAAAGTAGAACCAAATTTATTAGAAATGATGCTACTGGTTCCCTTGAGCTTCAGGGATGGCAAGAAAGAGAACTTGATAACTTGACACAAAATGAGAAATTTCATCCAAAAGAATTCAAGATGCAATGGCATGCAGACGTAGAAGTCTAACCCCTATAATCTTAAGGCAAACTACAAATCAATGATCAAGATTAAAATGCACCTTAATAGTCAACAACTAAAAAAGTAAAAAATAAAAAAAAAATAAAAAAAGTGAAACTTCTCTCCCCATCTCTCACATTAAAATTAAAAAAAAAAACTAAACAAGTGAAACTAGACCCATTATCATCATTACCTTATTGGAACAATTTTAGTCAACTTTATGAAATCTCATTTTCCACTCATTATGTTTGAATACTTGAATGTTGTATAAGGTGTTAAAACTATTCTTTGCAAATATTTTTGAATAACTTTTGTCCATGTTACCCAGGTCTAACCCTATTCCTTCTATGCTAACTTTATGTGCCCGTTTTAAAGGTGCATTTTATGCCCTTCATTGCACATATATAAAAGTCAATTTTCAACAACATTAACTTCAATAGATGCTATATAAATCATCTCTCAAATATTATCATTCTTTGATTTATCCAAGTTTTGACATACATCCATCCTAAAATTCTCACACACATACAACATAATTAATAAAATTGCAATTTTAAAAATTTGACCTTTAAGATTCACTACATATGGACCAAAATAGTCACCTTTTTTACAGTTGCTATCAAGAGTGTTAATTTAAACCAATCAGCATGATAAACAACACATAAAGCTAAGCCAGCTTCATTTTTGCTCTCAAACCAAAGTTTACATTTTATTGCAAAAATTCATCAATACGAACTCAATCAAAAAAAGCAAAAAAAAAAAAAATTTGCTACCACACACTTAAATAATTCTTGAAACAAAACGAAAGCAAATGGCTAATAAAGCCACTCAACATGCCAAAAAATGAGACAAGGTTAACAACGGTAAAATCAAAACTACAGTGGGAAGTGGCCATTACTGAATGATAAGCATGACCTAGTTGGCCACAAATTTTCATGGACTAGATAATTGAAAATTCATATAGCATGTATAACAGGTTCAAGAAAAATTGATCAATTCATCAAAGAAAACCAATCTATTGTTAGGAGAGTAGAGGTATTATCAGCAGAATTCAAGTTGGGTGGTTGAAGTGGAGGAATGCATCGGGCTTGTTATGTGACAGAAATGTACCCCTCAAACTTAAGGGAAAATTCTATAAGATGGTAGTGAGGCCTGCAATGCTTTATGGTGCCGAATGTTGGCCATTAAAAGAGAAGCATAATACTAAGTTAAGTGTGGCAGAGATGAGGATGCTTAGGTGGATGAGTGGCTTTACCCTCAGAGATAGGATACGAAATGAGCATATACGTGAAAAGGTTGGAGTAGCTCCAGTAGAAGATAAGATTAGAGAGAGTCACCTTAGATGGTTTGGTCACATAAAACGGCGGCCTTCCGATGACCCGGTTAGGAGAGTAGAGGTATTAGATTTGACTTATGTTAAGAAAAGTAGGGGTAGACCTAAAAAGACTTGGTTAGAAAATATTAGGAATGACCTTTCTTTATTAGATTTAAACGAGAATTTGACTTTTAATAGGACACAATGGAGAAAAAGGATTCATGTAGCCGACCCCACGTAGTGGGATAAAGGCTTGATGTTGTTGTTGTTGTATCAAAGAAAACCAATCGTACAAATAAATCAAAGGAGAAAAGAGTTGAGCATACAATAGCTTCAGAGTTTACAAAAAGTGCATAAAAAACAGTATAAACATTACTATCATTAATTGACCGAACATTCATGCAACTTATTTCATTAACAAAACAAAGACATTATTCTATGTGAAAAAAGCATATTAAAAAAATAAATAAATATAAATATAAATATAAGGTTTAGGCTATACAGACAATTTCATGAAATTATAATACATATGGCTGAAAACTCACCGGAAGGAACTTAGATGATTTCTTCATGACAGCTAATGTGCTACCAAGGCAACCTGAACGCTGATTTAACAAAAGAATCAGCAAGTATGAAGGTTAATGTTTATCACAAAAAATGATTAAATTCACTTCTCTGTCATATGGATGAACGGTAAAGAATCACATTAATGTCCGGATATGATTTGAATGTCAGTATGTGTCATTTATATGTTGAGAGAAACTATAAGAAGGAAAAATATGCACCTGCGCTAAAATCCATCCAACTAACCAATCAATGTCACTTCTATGATTAGAGACTACAAGAGCATGCTCTTTGCCTGTAATACCATCCAATGCCAGAGCATACAGAGAGAACCATCCGGTCATTAATAGGTTAATGGTGACAAATTAGATTAATGAAAAAGGTTCAGTCTGTACCCAAGGATTCAAAGGATTCAGAGTCTGCATATAACCGAATCTGCAATTAGAATCAAACATCAAACTTAATAGCCACAAATGAAGATCTTCGAGGAGGTGTTTTGATCACATCATCCGAGGTCAAAGATTAGCACATATCTCAAGAAAGATGCCATTAACTCTAGCCAAGGATCTAAAACGAGAAGGTTGAAAAGAAAATCTATACAGCATGATGGAAGAAAACAGCATCCTTAATTACGTTTGGAAATGATTTAGCTTTGGACGTTTGCAATAAAACAAATAGAATGATATCCAGTGGAGGAGCCAGAAATTTTTTTTTGGCGGAGGCACCAATTGTCGATTTTTAAAATTAACACACGTCAATTCATTTCCCCTCTTAAGTGCGGCCATACACTTAATTTTTCTTACTCTTCCAGACATAGAAGGCACGCGAGATCAACAAAAGGGTCTGGCGCTTGTTTATTCACAATACCAAACATGCACGATGTTTCGCTTATAGAAAATTCAATGGCGTATAGAAGCTTGGCTGAGAACTAATAACACATCAACAAAATTTTAAGTTTTTGACCATAGCGTAGATATGCTTGGCCAGTAGCACACTTGATGACAACCTCTAATGAGGAAAGTTCCAGAATGAAAATACATGGTTTGTAATAAGTCATCTTCTAGAGGAGGTTCAAAGATCATCGGATCACATGGCCGAACGGAACAACATAATATCAGCAATTCCCCCAATTACCGCTAAAGGAAACAGCCAACTCAAACTATTAAAAAATGGAAAATAGTGACAAGTACCTCGACTCCTGCCCACCAATCAACAAGCCAAACAAGCTGAAGCCAAAGCAATTCAGCCAACACCCTGTTGATCCTCCTGTAAGTACTCTTTGATATCGGTCGTACCGCAACATAACAGGTTGCCTGAAGCAAAATAAGAAACAAAACTAACATATACACAGGTACTGCGCCCGAGAAGAAAAGTGAATAAATCAAATACAATAGCACAAAATGTCAAAACCTGACAAGACAATAGACTCGGATCAAGCAAAATTTGGCTGATCGATAGCAGATCAAAGCAAAACAGCAAAGTGAAGGCACGAAATAGCTTCTAACCTGAATGAAATTCACGATCAAACCCGAAAGGAGAAAGAGAACACCGAGAGGAACCACTACTACGGCCGCCGGAACCGCCATGGCCACAGAAGAAGACGATGATGTGGGCTTCGTCGTGGGTTCGGGCGGGGGAGCTTCGGGGCTTTAGAATGCTCGTTGGGATCTCCGAAGTGGGAGCAAGCTCTTCATTAGGCAGAATAATGGGTGATAAATTATTCAATATATATTTTGAATTTAAAATGTTAAAAAATAATGTTCTAATTTTTTTTTTGGGGAAAATGAGGGCAAAGAGCCCGTATTACTATGTAAAGAAATTACAAGTAAGGTATAATAAAAAGGTAAAACCTCAACCAAAGAAGAGGAATCACCAAAAACCTATACCCCCCATAGAAAAAGAAAGTTACAAGAGAACCAAAAAGAGATCAAATGTCAAAATTGGCAAAGACCCAAAATGACACAGACTGCTAAGCCACAACCCGTCCAACCAACCGAGCGGCAACAAAGAAACTTTCCTGGTTGCCAAAGTGGCCGTCCAAGGAAAGGAATAGCATCCACATCAAAGTCAAAAGCCCGAATTCTTCAAAACCTTCCAAAGGTCAAAACACAAGCTGCTCCAGCCAAAAATAGGGAAGAACCAGCAGCCAAAGAAAAAATTCCATATTCACCAGATAAGCGAATTCCCAGCAGAAGCCATCCAAAAACCATTTGAAAGATAACAAGCACCAGATAAAGCAAAACTGCAATGCCAAAGAACTCTAAGCACCATTATGCGTTTTCCATGGCAATTCCAAACTTTCCTTAAACTTCCAGGAAGAAATTTTCATCTCAACCGCAAGCTTGATTGTGTTGCAAAGAGTAACAACACTTCTAAATTTAAAATTAAACCTTCTTTCGTTTCTTTCCCGCCACAAGAAATAAGCAGCACAAGAAGTAGTGAGCAGTAACAGTTCTTTTTGATGCTTTATCAAACTATCCAATTCACCCAGATAATGAATAACTTGCAAAAGGCGGGGCCTAAGGAGGAATTCTCCCAAAACCGGAATAAGGTAGGAAATGACAGAAAAAGCATAGTCACATTCAAACAGGATGTGAGGATTGGTTTCAAAGTGTGAGCCGCATAACACACAGTTAGGGGCAACAAAAATAGACCTCTTCCTTAATTCTTCAGCAGTTTTAAGCCCACCATTAATGGCAATCCATGAGTAAATGGAATATTTAAGTGCATAATGTTTGTGCCAAACTAGTTTGCTCCAGTCAACAATGGCCTCATCTTTATGATAAAACTTTAAAAAGGAAGAAAAGGAAGAAGATGCGGCATCTTTCCAATAAAGCACTTGCTTAGCATCAGTAATCAGCCTCAAAGAACCCAAGCTAACATTCAGGTCACCAAAATTAGAAGCCGGGAGAGTCCAGCCGCTCAAACCCAGAAAATCTATAACCTTAGCATTGTGATTAAAAATAGTATCCAGCGAATAATGAGTGAAAGCTTGGTATAACGATCCTCCATGAAACCAAGGATCCCATAACAAAGAAATGATATTGTCAGGCTTAAAAGCAAAACCCACATCAGCCCCAATAAGAATAGCAACTTTTCCAATTTCAACCCAAAGAGGAGAGGGTTTACATAAGGCCGGAGTCCAGGGGGTACCATATTTTGCATTTAAGAACTCAAACAACGGGGAAGTGTCATTATAAAACCTGAAAATAATGGAACAAAGACTAGCAAACTGTAAACCATGCAAGTCCGGAATGCCAAGCCCGCCATTAGTCTTAGGTTTACAAGTCTTATTCCAGGCAATGAGATGCAGTTTTTTTGCCTCAATATCCCCAAAATAAAGAAATTTTGCACACATTCTGCTAAGGGTCTTAATACAAGACTTAGGAATAACAGTCCCTCTAAGCCAATAAGCAATCTTATTGCAAACGGGCCCTTTTTTTTTTTTTTTTTCTTTTTTACTCAATTTTATATATATTAATATAAATGAATGTTCACACTAAATTAAATTTTTAAAAAATAATAAATAAATATAATTTTAAGACATACTATATCAATAATATTAAACTTTATATTAATATAAACATATCAATATTTAATATCCTTAAAATGCACACATTAAAATTAGATAAAAATTTTAAAAAACAAATTTATGTAATGTAAGGATTTCTAATAAATTGATTTGTTACATCAAAATAGTATCTATCATATATTGAATTAGTTACTCAAAATAAAAAAATAAATCTAAGCCTATCATAAAGCATTACCTACAAGAATACAAATTTATCATACAAACAACAATGAATGTTATAATGAGAAAGACTAACTGTATTAACACAAATACAATCAAAATCAAAACATTCAAATGCAATTTGTCATCGCAAAGCATCAAAATTCAATTGTATTAGCTACCTCGTCATATTAATGCATACATATGCATACAAATATGAATTTTTAAATAAAAATAGAAAAACTTATGGCAAACAAGGGTATATATAACTAATATAAGTACCCAATGATCGAGTATCTAATTTAGCCGAAGATTATTGCTTGAAATCCCGATCAAGATTATGTATATTAAGCACCCTAATGTGTTTATCATATCCCAATCAGCAAAGAGGTTACGGAAGAAGTTTTTTTTTTTATGAAAGCAATTGGAAAAAAAATAATTTGTTTAACTATAATTCAATAATTTGTAGATGCGCACTAAATAATCCAAACCTTAAAAAAGAAAATATTTCATTTATAATGCTTTTAATTAGCAGCCTCCCCACAATGACTGCTAAGCAATGCTACTTTGAAGCATCAAATGCAAAAAATGAATGACATTTTTTTTTATTGGGCAATGAATTTATTGACAAAAATATGAAAATATTCACAATTAATATGTTTCCAACATAGCTAAAATTATATAATCATGATCATATTTCTCAACTTAGAAAACAATTAGAAGCTTAAAAAAGAAAAATCCTTCATAATTGATTTCACAAGTGTTAAAATAGAGCAACAATATTATAATTATTTCATCAATGGCATCATATTCCCCCTAAGTACTACAAAGTTAATATAACCAACACAATTACAATTAGAACCAAATCATACAAAGCAATGATTCATAACAAGACTTCAAAATTAAATTGTTGTAATCAAATACATACATAAAGAAAAACTAAGGCTTCGTTTGGGATGATTTTTTTATTGCTTCTTAAAACAGCTTTTTAGTACAAAAATTTACTAAAATTAAAATTTTTGTACTAAAAAGCTGCTTTAAGAAGCAACAAGAAAGTCGTCCCAAACGAAGCCTAAGTCAACACAATTAGTTGAATAAAAGAATAAAAATATGAACTATAATCAAATTAAATAATAATAATAGCATATTGATTAAGAAAAAAAAAATTAAAGTGCCAAAAAAAGGATGTCATGACATAGGAGGAATATTTCAGCTATAAAAATTAAAACAAAAAATATATGAATAACTTAAATAAATTAAGATGAAAGAAAAAAATATATTTAGCAATACAAAATCAACAATAATAAGTAAATGTAATGAATAATACATCTAATTATAAGAAGATTGATTTATTTAAAATATTAAAGCAATAATAAAAATTTTAGTGAAAATATAGAAATATATTTAAATAAAAAATATTTTTCAAATATAAAAAACTGAGATGTGTAAAAGTAGAAATCAAGGAATATACATACAATAAAATAATTTTCAGCAACTTTCTCCCAAAAATGACAGTATAATTTTCGATCAATTGAAATAATACATAGTTAAAATAAATTAAATTCATTGATGATAAACTGAACAAATATATTATCCAATATGGTCAGAGGACTGCACAAGAATATAAAGTAAATAAATATAACTTTAAAATATTAAAATCATAAAAACCAGTTGAATAATATGCAATTATATACTATACTACTATTTTTATAATGTATAATAAATGTATTTCAATATTCAGATATGCAAAAAGAAGCCCAAAAATAGTTTAAGCTCAAACAAAAAAGAAGACTCTCGTGATAATATAAATAAGGTGCTAAAATATTTATAACAAGAATAATAAAAATTAGGGCTTGCCATCACCTTAGGAGAGGATGGGTCAGTGTATATAGATTGGCTAAAATAATCAAAAATCTATAAAAGGAGACAAAGTTGCACTATTGAAAAATCGCTCAATACAGGTGGATTTCGGACGAACTATTTTCCTGTGGCTTTTTTGACAAAATTTTGACAGAATATGATGACATATTTTAGGCAAATTTCAAGCAGATTTTCCAGCGGATTTTCTGACGGAGTTCCGACGGAAATGAATTTTCCTGTAGTGTTTCAATAACGAAAATTTAAAAAAAAAAATAAGAATTAAGCTAAAAATTAACCGATAGCAACAAGACATAACTAGCCATAGTAATAAATAGTCAAAACTAATATAGTAAATCAATTAACTTACAAAGAGAAAAGGAAAATTAATTGGTACAAATATATTTTATTTAACAAAAAAATAGCATAGAAAGTACTTAACCACCATTAAAAAATAAAAAATAAAAAACTACAATTTCAGACTTATGAAAGCAATAGCATCAACTGAATAAGTGAAAAACTGCTGAATTTTTCTAAAAAAGGAAAATGCAACATTAACTTTTGAATCATGAGTTAAGACTCATGGTGTCGCATACACAAAAACAACCTACTCTATAAGACAAATTAATTAAATCTCTAATTGATTATTGAGCCCAACAACCAGACTAATGCCAACGAGAGGGAGAAGAAAAATTACCTAAGGACATGTCTTCAGTGAGGAGGAAAAGCCACCATTGAGTTCATGTGAGAGGGAAGAGTGTTGGGAGTAGGGGATTTTGGGTTGTAAGATTGAGTATTATAAAAACAAAGAAGGCGAAGAAGCTTAAGATTATTTAGCAACTCATTCAAAACTCTTCTTCACAATAATTTCGAGATATCATCGTGACTTGTGATCCAATAGGAGAAGAAGGTGAAGGTTCTTTTGGCGACTCACTACAGGAAAACCCGCAATTACCGGCGGCTTATATCCGCCGGTAACACCCAAAATCCGACGGAAGTCCTGGGTTTCCGGCACATTTACGGCGGATTTTCGTGCGCCGGTTTGGGTCGCGTCGGAAAAAACTTTCCGGCTTGGCAAGCATTTTTATGCGCCGGTTTGGGTCGCGT